GTATACCATGTCTTATTCGTAAATGCTTGTCATGAGAGATCTTGAGCGTTTTTCCAATTTCTAGTGATCGCAGATCTTGCAGTGCCTGTAAGATTTGAAACGAATTATTTATTTTCAAGTTTCTCATTTCCCCCTGTAAATAATGAAAATAACAATACTGTAAGAGGAGTCTTGAAATAAACAAATAGCCATGTTCTGTTACTTGCCTGTCCCTCTCCCTAAAACTGGGAAACCCCAAAGAGTAATCAGAGTAGCCGGAGAATAAGATTCTAATAAATTTGCTGCAGTGCTCATCCTCTTTATTGACCTGTCACCGTGGCCCTAATTCTGCTCTTGTTAAGGATGTCTTCCAAGGGGAACTGGTGCTTTGGGGTTTGGATTGGGGAGGGTAAGGATAGACAGCTTTGGCTGTTCAAAGGGGCAATGTCCTGCCTCCAGGGCCCTCTGAGTGCTTCACGGCCTGCCAAAAAATGATCAAAGCAAAATGAGAAGTGGCTGGAAGGCCAGGTTGGGTGATGAGAAATGATGTGGAGGGGGTGTTAAATGATGCCGTGCTCCTTGATCTGTTTTCCAAAGTCAATCATCTACCCTCTTTGGCCTGAAAGAGGCTGTGTCTGAATATTTTGGCATCCTCTTTCTTGAAACCATGCAGAAATGGTCGTGGGAGGACAGAGGGCCCCAGGGGTGCACTTCGCCCACCTGTCCTCTAGAGCAGTGATCCCCAACCTTGGGCCTCCAGATGTTCTTGGACTTCAACTCCCAGAAATCCTGGCTAGCAGAAGTGGTGGTGAAGGCTTCTGGGAGTTGTGGTCCAAGAACATCTGGAAGCCCAAGGTTGGGGACCACTGCTCTAGAGGGAGTTCTGGAACTTGGAATCGGGAGCCAGAAAGCACCTTCTGGCCTGCCATCGATGCCCAAACTCGATACCTAGGGGAAGGTCGGATGCATCTCTGATGCCGTCAAGGTGTACTCTCAGGGAGGGCGGGAGGAACCGGGGAGCTTTCAGTCTTAGACCAGAGTCACCAGGTTTGAGCTTAGAGCCCTTGGCCTGAAAAGCCGATGTTAATGCACCCTGAGCACACATGTGTGCCTTGGCTATCCAACGGGTGCTTAAGCGAGCTGTTTACTCCTGTGATCACACCTTTAATGCACCGGTACTGAATGGGCATGTTTCTGGCTTGTCCAGAGACTCACTAAATGAGCTACTTGAAATGATCCACTTGTGTGTATGTGGCTAACACCACTGGCCATGCTCTCAGTCCTCTTTGCATCTGTCCTGAATTGTAGAGGTGTTGGCCGGTGTTCCGTTCATAAAGACTTGGGCAGAGAAGTTGTATATTTTTTCTCTGCAAGCTGTGGGCCGAGAGCCACAAAGGTGGTGGATTTGGATTGGAAAGTGGATGGAGCTCAACCAAGACTCAAGGGGATTTTGGCCCGGTGCTTTGTAGCTGGAGCGGTGCATATTCCCTGGATATACTCACCATCTACTGTCCTGGAAATTTATCTGTTTTTTGTTGTGCACTGAATAAACCATAAAGCAGAGGTTTCCAACCCCCGGGCCACAGCCCGGTGCCGGTCCATAGCCTAAGCCGAACTGGGCCGTGGAGACAGACCTCCCCCCTGCACTCCCCCCCGCACAGCCCCTTTGCGCATGTGCATACGCACCAACACCCATGCAACTGCTCACCCACCCGTTTGTGCATGTGCCCTTGTTGCTGCACGAGTGCTGCAATGCAGTTTGCGAATGCGCATGAGCGCCCATGTGACCGCACGAGCACCGCACCACCGCTTGTGCATCTGCACGAGTACCTGCATGAACACCCTCCCGCTCCTTTGCGCAGGTGCACAAGTGCGAGGAGGTGCCCCGCCTTCCCCATCCGGTCCACGGAGTTAAAAAGGTTGGGGACCCCTGCCATGAAGGGATGGGAGAGATCCAGAGAGCTTGGCGTTCCCCAAGCTCCGAAGGGCAGCTGCTGACAGCGAAACGTCAGGGTTTAGTCTGGCTTCAGATCCCCAGGTCCCAGCAGACGAGGCATGGCGTCTTCCCTCATTCCGGAGACACTGAATCAGATTAAGGGGATGGCTTCCGTCTAGCGTGGAAGGGTTGACATTCCTGCCTTTCCTCTCAGGCTGTTTTGGAAGAGGAGAGAAAGGGTGACGGGGCGGAGGCCAGCTGAGAGCAGAGCGGTCTGTGGCTCTCCAGCTCCTCTCTCTACTTCAAATGGTTGCATTTGAGGGCTGCGAGAGTTTGAATGAGGCCCTTGTGCCGTGTGTAGCGTGTGTGTGTGCGTGCGTGCGTGCATGCATGCACACTGACGGGGAGGGGTGTTTTTGGCTGCATTCTGAAAAACACGGCATGCAGATGTTGATCTGTGTTTAAACAACACAAAAAGGGGGGTGGATGTGGCGGGCCTGTCTCGTGCTCCGGGGTGGAGCTGTTGCAAGGTTATGCCCTGTGTGGCTTTTTGTTTGCTTGGGGGCTTTTTCCACCCCGTCTGTCTGTGTCTTTTGGAAGGAGGGGGTGCTGGTGGCTGCAATTGGACTGTCTGGAGACACCGTCAAACAGCTGCAGTCTTTGCTCTAAAGCAGGCTCAAAAGCTGACTTTCGTTTTCCCTTCCTCTGCCCTCCACTAGCATTTATCATTGCCAGATAATTGAGTTGGGGGCCATCGAGTCCAAACTCACCCACCCCCACTGGATGCAGGAATACAAATCAGAGCCGATCTGACAGATGGTGCTCTAATTTTCTCTTGAAGGCCTCCAGCATTGGAGCGTTCATCTCCTCCCGAGGTCATGGGTCCCGTTGTCGTACTGCTGTAACAGTAAAGACATTTTTCCTGGGATTCCACCTAAATCTGACTTCCTGTCACTTGAGCCCATGGTTATGTGCTCTGATGACTGAGAACAGATCCTGCTTCTCCTCTGTGTGACTACCTTTCAAGTGCTCTCCTATCATCCCTACCTTGTCCTTGCATTCTCTTCCTTATGCTACACACCTTGTACGGTGTTCATCCTGGGTGAGAAACGGAAGTAAGGACAGGTCTTAACACAGTAGCTATCTTGGCTAAAGTGGAGGGGGGCAACTGGACAGGTGACTCCTTTGGCCAGTTGGAGCTCGGCCAGGTGTAAATGAAGGCCACAAGCCAACAGGTCTTACAACCCCGACTGGCCAAAGTACCGCGAATCTTTCTCAGTGTCCATTCCATTGCACCTTCTTCCAAGCCCATGCGCATTTTCAAACATCCTTGTTTTGTGTTGGGTTGCGAGACTTGGTTTTTTGGATGGCTGCCTGGAAAGGGAAATGTGCCAGAAAATGACAAAGTCAAGATCTTGTGGAATTTCCGGATCCGAACGGATAGACACTATGAACATAACACACCAGACTTAGGAGTGATAGAACAAAGAAAGGTCTGGATTGTTGACATGGCAATTCCAGGAGATGCCAGGGTTGAAAATAAACTAATGAACTATAGAGACATCTCGCTTGTGGACATTTCAGGGGTCCCTGTCGTCATTGGGGCTTCGGGAACAACATCAAGAAATTTCACACACTGTTATAATCAGTTGTAGATTTCAGAAATCACACCACCATCAGAGCTACCCAACCCCCCCCCCCAAAAAAACTCCAGCCTTATTAGGAACAGCATACATACTGTGCTGATATTTATCGGTTTTTGGTTAGAACTTGTATCTGTTTATAAAATACCAATGTTTTTATAGTTTTGAGTGACTCGGCCCGGTGTTTTTGAATCATAATTATAATAATAGAGCCATGCTAAGTCAAACCAGGTGTATCTCTAGCCAATCGTCCTGTTTGCCACAGTAACCCCTCAGAAGACTGGACCCAGTGGGGGAAAGCCCATGAAGCAGGATGTAAACATTGCAGCTTTCGCCTACATTTCTTTTATGGTGAAACGGGCACAGTTGCTGATCTTGAAGGTGGCATGTGGCTGATAGTGGTTCCTAAGCGTGGTCTCCCCATCTCATGTGCATTTGCTTAATCCGGGTCCAGCAAATTAAAACTCTTGTAAGAGTGGTGGGCTTTGGTTTGTTGTGGGATTGAAACACCAATAATGTCACTGTGCTGATCCTCTTGGGTGGTGATCCTGGGCATTTGACCCCTCCCTTAGTGGGCAAAGGATGTGCTCCGCTGGTGTGCCACGGCTGCTTATCCTGAGTGGGTCTCTTGTCGTGCTTCCACCTGGTCCCAGAAGCTCTCCCTGTCCACGCCAGAGAACTTGCGGGTGGAGAAGTGGCGATCCTGGGCGGTACTAAACCCTCGGGCAAAGCATCTGCTTGCTTCAAAGTTCAGCCTGCCACTGGGGACCCGGCGAGCCCCCATCACGTCCCTCCCTGGCATGCCCACAGTTTTCCTGCAGAACAGCCTTAGCGCTCCTTCCCTTTAAAGAGCCACTGGGGGGGGGGTCGGAGCTGACCGGCCTCGTAAGATGTTCCCCAGCCCTTTGGGGGGCCAGAACGCATTCTTTCCACAGTCACTGCTACAGACGTTCCAGTCTGCCAGGCCAGCCCTCTGGCTGCTGGACCTTCCGAGGACGGTTTCTTGCTTTCAGAGAGAGAGAGAGAAAATAAAAATAGGGGAAGAGTGGAAAACCAGCCATGCGCGGCGAGGGCCTCTCCGTTTTCAAAGAAAAATGGAAGAGACTTCGCCTCCGTTCAGTGCCAAAGCTCAGACGGCGTCTTGCTGTTCATTCCATGGGTGTTTTGTTGAAAGCATTTTCATGCTCCTGTCGCGGTGTGCGCCTTCTTTCCTTCCTTGCTCAGTATGCTCTTACATGCCTCAATCCGGGCGCCTGCTGCCTCCCACATCACGCTGAGATTAAGTGATGAGTATTCATGACTTTGGTATGTCTCAAGCTGTTGGAATTTCTGAGAGTTTGCACACACACACACACACACACACACACACACACACAAAAGTCAGCTAGGATTTCTTGAACTAGGTGACAACACTCAATGGTGATTTGCAATCTGTTTTCCAGGCGATGACTTCTCATTGATACAGCAAGAAATCTACATGGTTAAGGAATGCAGACACTGCAATATAGTCGCATACTTTGGAAGCTATCTCAGGTAAGGCCCTTTTTGCGTTCCATTTGGTGCATAAATATTTTCAGTGCCAACTTCCTGGAGAAAGAAGCAAAAGCTTTAGGAAATGTGTCTGGAAGGTGCAGCTGCCTGTCCTGTTGGTGGATGTAAGTTTTCAGGTCTGTTCAGAGAGAGGTGGCCAGATGGCCGTTTGATAAATAAAGGTTCAAGGCTGAGCGTGCAAGCATTTTTCTTGCCGTTGTTGTGGGTTTTTCGGGCTCTTTGGCCGTGTTCTGGAGGTTGTTCTTCCTAACGTTACGCCAGTCTCTGTGGCCGGTATCTTCAGAGGACAGCACTCTGTGCTCTGGTGCAGTTTGTTTGGGAGTTGAGTGTTTATTGGATCAGCTTTTGTCCTTTTCAGGAGATGGGCGATTGTGGTGATGAGCGGGTGTTTTGTTGTGGGTGTATTGTTGTATTAAGGGGGACAGATTATCTGTCACTGTGATTGATGGGTGTCATTAGAGCCTGAAAAACCCACAACAACCATTAGATCCAGGCCATGAAAGCCTTTGCGAATACATTTTTCTTGCCCCTGAAATACTTTTGGCTGAAGCTGAGGCGGCATATTTCCCATTCCTCTGGAATTGTGCCTTTTATTGGCAAGGACTTTGGGAAGATGTCACAGACTCTGGCTGGACTTGATCTTTTGCCTCCTGGGTGCATTTTTCAAGATGTCCCATGTCCAGAACGCGTGGAGGAAGACAGCATCTCTGTAGATGTTCACACAGGTGGAGCCAAACGGCGGAATATCCAGAGAAAAATCAATCTGGCCTCATTTGTCTTCCTGTAAAATGAGAATAAAGGCAGCCGGCAGCCACTTAATCCTCACAAAATGTCTGTGCATGCAGCCAGGGAAATACCGTGTTGTTCCCCCACATTCACACACCTTCAGGCCCTGAGTTTTGCTTGAGATGGGATGGAAATAGAAGAGTGGTTCCCAAACGGCTACAAATAATTTTAATTATTCCTGCTTCATTTCACAGCCGGGAGAAACTCTGGATTTGTATGGAGTACTGTGGTGGAGGGTCCCTTCAAGATATCTACAATGGTACGTGCAAATTTATTGATAAGCACTTCTGGTATGATATTGTTGACCTATTAAGTTGGTGTCTTCATCCTTTTTTAATATGGCATTGATCTGTTGATGGCGCAATAAAGATTTGGTCTCTCTCTGGTACCTGCAAACTTATATATTTCATGGTGATCTTTCTTTCAAGGAGCTGTTGAACTCTGCCTCTTGTTCTCTTAAACCATTCTGAGAGGCAGGATAGGTGGAAGGAATTTGAACCCAGCTCTCCCTTTCTCCAGTGCTCGGTCCACATATTCACAAAGTCCCCGTTCGACCCGTGTTTACTTACACTTCACAGGTTTTTTAAGCATAGCTGCTCTGTGGCTCAATTCCCTGTGAAAGTGCTTGGGTTCACACTCTGTTGAAAGGTGTGAAAAAAATTGGATAACTGCCAGATGAGATTACTGTAAAGCATTGCATGTGGGGCTGCCCTTGAAGACTTTTCCCAGAAGCTTCGGTCAGTTCAAAGCATTCCTTCCTGTTCTTTAATCAGACGAAGGCTGAGAGGCGGAGTGACCATCTAGCGCTATTTTGGGGGCACAATGCAGTGGTTTTGGTCTTAATCAAACCCAAAGAAATCTGGAATATTTAGGGGAGGCAGCTCTCCCTGCTCTGTCTGCTGTCACTGGTAGCATTCTTCCAGTCTCCTTGGCGGGAGGAGAGGCAGTAAAGCACACGAGCCTTAGGCTTTTGCACATCACACTAAGAAGTGGTGCAGCATCAACCTTTGCCGCAGCTGCTAGGAGGAGGATCGCCAGTAACAGAGGCAGGCAATGGCTGACGAAAAAAGATCGCACGGTCCTTTTTCAGAAGAGCGTTTACTTGGGATCTGAAAGACAGCGTGTCGGAGTGTGCAGCCTTTTCAGACCTGTGAGCAAGACCATGCGCACAAGAGGCATGGCTTGCCAGTGATTTTTCTCTCCTGGTCAGGAGCGAGCACTGCGCTTCTTTCCTAGGAAGTTTTGATATTTCATATACATTTCACTTCGTTTCATTCTGTCTCTTAATATCCGCCGTGTCCAAGGAATCTTACATTAAAAGACAATGATTAGTCTTTATGCCACAACGTTTTTGTCTTTTTTTCTGTTTTGTTTTGCTTCTTTGGATTTTTGCCTGATAGGCTCCCTAGGAAGGAAGGACTGCAAGAAGGGGTGTGTGTGGAGGAGGCCCGTGGGTGGGGATGATTATATTGCTGTGGCCAGACATAAAGGTGCTTGACCTCCGGACACCAGTTCTGCACCCCTGGGAGCATAGAGCGGGTACCAAGGGAGAGGCCAGAGTTTGGAATTTTCAGACTACAACTCCCAGAATCCTCCTGCCCTCTGCTCTGCTTGTAAGCATTCTGAGAGGCGTAGTCCTGGTTGGACTGTGTGATCAAAAAGGAAGTTGCCGTGACTTTGATGCACTTTGACTGTGCCGCTGTGAATATCCACCGTTCTAAGGTTGTGTTTTCTTTCAGTAACGGGTCCTCTGTCGGAGTTACAGATTTCGTACGTTTGCAGAGAGACGTTGCAGGTAAGACGTTGCGCTGTGCCTCGGGCTGGCCTGAGAAACACCGTTCACAGTGGGTCTGAATGTATTCCTTTATTTTATTTTTCATGCTTAGGTTCTCTGGATGATGCACAAAACGCCTCCTAGGGAACGGATAATAACAAAAATCATAGTACAGTGCTAATAAAATAGCCCAGAATGAAATAGGCAAAGTAAAATGAGCAGTGTAGCAGAAAAAGTACAGTGTGTAATGAAAGCACAACGAAACCACCAGCGAAAAAATAGAGCCGCCCTCCCGGCTGAAATGGTTGGGCAGAAAGCATCTCCCCAGGGTCGTTTTGGTAGCCTTTGGCTACACCAGTCTACTCCCTTCTCTTCCAACTGAACAGTTTCCGCAGCGAAAAATAAATACGTAATCAGAGCTCCCATACACTTACTATAAAATAATAATAATGTGCCATCAAGTTGGTTCTGACATGGTGAACCTTTCCAGGGTTTTCTAAAGTAGCCATAACTCAGAAGTGGTTTTCCATTCCTTTCTCCTGGGACTACTCTGCAGCTGGCCCAAGGCTACCCAGGCTGGCTCTTCTCCCTGGAGGCCCTGCGGGGAATAGAACTCCCAACCTCTGGCTCTGTAGCCAGATAAGCTCAGCTACTGAGCTATCCAGACGGCTCCCTACACTTAGATTTGCCTTTTAAATAGGTTGCAGGGCTCTCTGTGTTCCTAACACCAATTTTTCCAAAAACCGCCAGGGCAGTTCTAGCCGTTTCCAGCTTCATTTGTTTTAATTTTTTGTGGCTTCACTTGTTTTAATTTTTGGAGGACCCTGAGGGCAGGAAATGGGCCCCGAGACCTCTCACAGTTGTCTGCTCTTGGAGTAAACAAACAGAAACGGTGGTGTTTGTGTGGGCACTGGGAAGACGGTAACGTAGGCACTGGCGCCATCCTTTCTAGGGCGGGAGCTCTACAGATGCCCACAATGGCCACCCAGCCTTGCCTCTTTCAAGGGGTGGCCGTTCTCTGAGAGGAGTCTCGGCTGGTGTTCTTTAGGGTTCCGCAAGGAAGGAAGAAGTCAGAAGGCTGCAAATAGGTTTTGGTGAATCAGTTGCTGAATTTTTTAAAAGGACTAGCCAGTGAAGTAGCTTTCCTTTGGAGCCCCTGTTCCAGTGCCTGAGCCCCCTTGAGTCCCAGTTTTGCGAGGAGGATATAAATTATGTTTTGTTGTTGTTTAGTCCTTTAGTCATGTCCGACTCTTCGTGACCCCATGGACCAGAGCATGTCAGGCCCTCCTATCTTCCACTGCTTCCCGGAGTTTAGTCAAATTCATCTTGGTCACTTCAATGACCCTGTCCATCCATCTCGTCCTCTGCCGTCCCCTTCTCCTCTCGCCTTCCCTCTTTCCCAACATCAGGGTCTTTTCCAGGGAGTCTTCTCTTCTCATGAGATGGCCAAAGTACTGGAGCCTCAGTTTCAGGATCTGTCCTTCCAGTGAGCACTCAGGGTTGATTTCCTTTAGAATAGATAGGTTTGTTCTCCTTGCAGTCCAGGGGACTCTCAAGAGTCTCCTCCAGCACCACAATTCAGAAGCATCCATTCTTCGGTGGTCAGTCTTCTTCCAAACCTGTTGTTGCTTAGTCGTGTCCGACTCTTCATGACCCCCAAACCAAGCAGCCTCCATATATGCCCAGTGTTGACTTAGCCCCACTGCATGGCCATGCTGAGTGAAGATGCCACGTTAGAGAAATTTTGGGATTCTTCCTTGTTCTAAGGAGGAACTTCTGCTTCCTTGAAGCTGCGGATTTTGTGAATTTACCCGAAGGGAAGATTTTTCGAAGGAACCGAACATATGTGACTTCAAGTCCTGTAGCCAAAAAAAAAAAAAAAAAGCTTTACACGGGTTTTTCTGACATCAAAGTTTACAGTAAAGCGAGAGCACGAGAGCTTTATACAAAGGCACAGGAACTAAAAATATCTTTGCCTGGAAGCAAACATTGGCGGAGGTCTCCTTTCCAGACTTCCAGTTCATGGCTCTGTTTTGTCCACTGGACGGAGATGGAAGGTCTGTGGAGATCCAAGGTCTGTCCGTCTGTTTTATTTCTATACTCCCTTTCTTTGATCAAGGGGATCAAGCTGGTTCACAGGGGTTGAAATGGGCTTGCTTTGTGTAGTTGCTCCCAACTGAGCAGGCCCAGTGGACCCATGGGACTTAGTTGACTCACCCAATCTCACTGATTTAATATGTGAGCTATTTGGAGGCAACTTTCTGCCCCCTAAGAAAGGGGATTTCAGCCAACAAAATACAAGTTAAAAAGGCAATCAATAAATACACAATTTAAAACAATTAAATTTACAGTAATATTTTTAAAAATAGTCACACAGAGTGCAAAAAGTATCTTTAAAGCACACTTTAAAAATCACAAAAAAATCTATATTTGAAAGGTGGATTCTTTTTTAAAAAATTATTCCCTGTGTAATTTTTGGGAAGGGAAGCAAACGGCTCTGTTTTTAAAATCACAATTAAGGTCTTCTGATTGAGTTCTTTACTGAGATACGGTCAGGTAATCAGCCAAGGTGATATCTTTTGGGTATTGTGGGTGTGCTGGATAGCTCAGTGGTTATTCTCCATGGAGCCTCCAGCAAGGAGAGCCAGCCTGGGTGGCCTTGGGCCAACTGCACCATCCCAGGGCTGCCCCAGAAGAAGCATACCTCTGCATATTCTTTACTTGGAAAACCCTGAAAAGGGTCTCAGTGTAAGTCAAAACTGACTTGATCCCACACAGTTATTATTTTTGCAGCACTGCTTTTAGCACAGGTTAGGAAAGACCAAAAAGGGGGGGGGGTTATTCACACAACACATATAATTAATTGGAATTTGCTGCGACGTTGTTTTCAGTGGCCAATGATTTACATGAATTTAAAAGAAAATTAGATAAACTCATGCAAGTGGGAAGGAAGAGACACTTGGTTTCTATTACTGTGCAGTCCTACCAGTGTCTGCTCAGAATAAATTCTCCTTTGTTCAGCCTGGCATTTTTTCGAACGATGGGTGTAAGGTTGCAGCATGGGAGATATATAAAGCCTCCAAAGTCTGGTGCAGTATACTGCAAGAGTACCAGCTTCAGGGAAGCAGAAAGCAGGATAGGCTGTTTGCTCCCAGATGCATCTTCACCTTCTTCCCTTCTTGCTGCAGAGATGCTTGGATTGTAGCAGTTTATTAATTTAATGTTTATGAGTTGTAATTGGTTTTTTATTTGAATCGTTTTCCTCTTTAGTTTATTAAATTGAATTTTATTGGTAAATTATTATAGTGGTTTTCTTTTTGGTTAATTTATCGTGGTATTTCTTTTGGGACGTTCTCAGCTTTGGTCTTATTTTTGAAACTTTTTGTAACTTGGCAGCCCTTGGTTTGGTGAGCTGGGAGAGAGAATCGAACCAGTGCCCCCTGGGAGAGGAATGTGAAACCGACACTCCTGACTGGTGTTTGCAGTCTGCATTTTAGAGCTCACTTTTAAGCCCACCACAGATACCGAAAACCACAGATGATAGCAAACACACTATATATGTACAGTACAGTGGTGCCTCGCTTAGGGAGCACTCCGTTTAGTGACAAAATCGCTTTGCGATGAACTTTTTGCGATTGCAAAAGCAATCGCTTTGCGATGTTCCCTATGGGGGAATTTCTCTTTGAGATGATCGGTTCACTGCTTCAGGAACCGATCATCACAAAGCGACCAGTTTCGCACAGCTGATTGGCGGTTTCAAAATGGCCGCCTGCTGTTTTCTGGGACGGATTCCACGCTTAAAAGGCACCGAAAATGGCCACGCTATCGAGGGTCTTTGCTGAACGGTGAGTTTTAAGCCCCTAGGAACGCATTAATCAGGTTTTAATGCGTTTCTATATTCTTTTTAATATCGCATAGTGACATTTTCGTTCAACAGCGATTTTTTGCGTAACGAATTAACTTCGCAATGCGAGGCACCACTGTATATAGCATATATAGAATGGTAAAAGGAAAAAACAGAAAAAAAAATTTCATGAGCATTACCAGAACTGGCCACTAGAACAAATATTCATGGTATGGTCTCTTTCTCCCTCTAGTGGCTAGTTCTGGTTAAACATGTGAAAATATTTTTTTCTGGAATTTTTTCTTTCAATATTTTTAATATTTCCAACCTGTGGATAAGATAGTGATCCCATGGATATGGGGGTCCTACTGTACACAATTTTAGTGGTCTAATAAAAGGTATCGCTAGCTCTTGTTTTTGTAACATAAAATGTGATCCAGGCATTGAAATGAAATGCTCATCATTCGAGTTGCTTCTCAGGACATCTGAAGAACCTTTGTAGGAAACAGAACACTGGGCTTGGCGGATCTTTGGTGTGATCTGAGACAAAGCTTGGAAAAGTTATTACTTTAAAGATATTTTTCTCCCTCCTTTGTTTATTCATTCATTCATTGATTGATTCATTCATTTATTCATTCATTGCATTTTTATCCCACCCATCTTGGGGCAGGGCACTACTCTGGGCAACCAATAGCGATAAGGAGAAATAATAACCCATCCACCCAATAGAGATGGGCATGAACCGCCGGTTCAGCAGTATGTTTATTGGCCAGACGGGTGTTTGGCGGTTCCCAGCCCACCCTCTGCCAACAGGTGCCCCTCCCGAGGCAGTGCCCGGAGAAAGCTGAGCCAGGGCGCTGCCTCTGAGTGGGTGCCAGTCCACCGGGTGATTCATGCCCATCTCTAGCACCCAATTAAAAAACCAACGGAAAGGCCACAGAGGCAACGGCAGAGAAAACTCGCTTAAAAACACATGGGGGTGTGAATATATTCAAGGGGGAGAGGAACATTACCAGAGACCTCTTTGAAAAGCTTGGTTTCCACCCCTTTCCGGCCAGTCAGAAGGGAGACAGCCTGGTGGAATATCAACAGGCAACCCGTTCCATGAATAACGAGGACGGTTGGCCCCGGTCTGCTGTCAGTGTGTTTCACTGGATTTGGGGTCATTCCCCTTGGA